TTATTTTTTTAATAATTAACATTTCTGAAATTGGGGTATGTCTTACAATTGATGGTACTTAATAATTTAATTAACAGTGTTTTTTTTTTTTTCATTCTACTAGCATATATATTGATGGTATATTTTATAATCAGTAGCATCTTAAATTTAATAAAATAGAATATTTGCGGGGATTTTGAAGCCTACGATAAAGATTTTCCTCAAAGAGTATTTCATTTACTTTTGACTCTGGCACCATCAGTCCAGGAACATTTTAAATTCATGGCTTGAAGAGTTTTTGGGACAACTCAGTTAATGTGAACTTGAGCTGCCAAATATACAGAAGTGAGCCTGTGGTTATGGCTTCCCAGAGACTTCACCCTAGACCGCTGAACTTCTCAGTGTGAAGGCAACTTTCTTTGCAGTTACCTGAGGTGAGGAGTGAGTGGTAGCTTTGTCATTTTGAGGTTCCATTTGAATGTGGGAGGGTGTTCTACTAGATTAAAAATTTTTTGAGAGGCCAGGCATGGTGGCTAACACCTGTAATCCCAGCACTCTGGGAGACTGAGGTGGGCGGATCACTTGAGGTCAGGAGTTTGAGACCAGCGTGGCCAACATGGTAAAACCCCATCTCTACAAAAAGTACAAAAATTAGCGGGGCAAGATGGTGCATGCCTGTGATCCCAGTTTATCTGGTCATGTGAATCACTTGACCCCGGGAGGCAGAGGTTGCTATGGACTTAGATTGAGCCATTGCACTCCAGCCTGGGTGACAGAGGGAAACTCTAACTAAAAAAAAAAAAAAAATTTTTATTTTTAAATTTGAGACATACTAATGTATACATTTGTGGGATATAATGTGATGGTTTGCTGCATGTTTACATTGTGGATTGACTAAATCAAGTGAATTAACATAGCCATCTTCACTTATCTGTTTTGTGTATGGTAGAAACATTTAAATTCTTCTCTTTTAGCAATTATGCCTATGGTTTATTTTTCTGAAGTTTTTCTTAAGGACTCTGCTTTAGGTCACAAAGATTTACTCTTACCTTTTTTTCTATATTCCAGTCTTACATTTCACATTTTAGTTTTTAATATACTTGTTGTCCACCTCTATATGTGGTATTAGGAAGTGATCCAATTTTATTTTTCTCTATAGTGAGCCAGTTTTCCCATAACCATTTATTTATTTTTCTTTTTTTTCTTTTTTCTTTTTTTTTTACATAGAGATGGAATTTCACCATGTTGGTCATGTTGGTCTCGAACTCCTGACCTCGTGATCCTCCCACCTCGACCTCCTAAAGTGCTGGGATTACAGGCATGAGCCACCGCACCCGGCCTATTTTTTTTTTTAAGACAGGGTGTCACTCTTTCACTCAGGTTGGAGTGCAATGATACCATCTCAGCTCACTGCAACCTCCGCCTCCCAGGCTCAAGTGACCCTCCCACCTAAGCCTCCCGAGTAGCTGGGACCACAGTCATGTGCCACCACGCCTGGCTAATTTTTTGTATTTTTTGTGGAGATGGGGTTTCCCCATATTGCCCAGGCTGGTCTGGAACTCCTGAGCTCAAACAATCTGCCTGCCTTGGCCTCCCAAAGTGCTGGGATTTAGGTGTGAGTCACTGTGCCTGGCTCTCATCACTGTTTGCTAAACAATCATTTTCCCATTGATTTGTGGAACACCCTTTATTATAATAAGTTACCACGTATACATGTTTGTCTCCGAGCTCTCTATCTGTTCCATTGGTCTATTTGTTCCTGTTTTTATTTCCTACAGCTTTGTCTTAGTGTTTTGTGTGTTTGCTGTTTGGTACAGTAAGTCACTCCTTTGCTCTTCTTTTTAAGGTTGATTTAGCTATTAGTAGACCTTTATTTTGTCATATTAATTTTAGAGCATTTAACAAGTTCTTGAAACATTCCAGATGAAATATGAATTGGGAATGCATTAAAATATTATTTAAGCCTGAGCAACATAATGAGAGCTTGTCTCTACAAAAAATAAAAATAAAAAACATTAGCCAGGTGTGGGGTCATGCACCCGTAGTCCCAGCTACGTGGGAGGCTGAGGCAGAATTACTTGAGCCCAGGATGTCGAGGCTGTAGTGAATCATGCCACTGTACTCCAGCCTAGGCAATAGAGCAAGACCCTGTCTCAATAAATAAATAAATAAATAAATAAACTAAAAAAAAATATATATATATGTCTATACACACACACACACACACACACACACACACACACACAATTTAATTTGGCTGGGCGTGGTGGCTCACACCTGTAATCCTAGCACTTTGGGAGGCCAAGGCAGGTGGATCATGAGGTCAGGAATTCAAAACCAGCTTGGCCAACATGGTGAAACCCTGTCTCTACTCAAAATACAAAAATTAGCCAGGGCTGGTGGTGCACACCTGTAGTCCTAGCTACTTGGGCAGTTGAGGCAGGAGAATTGCTTGAACCCAGGACGCGAAGGTTGCAGTGAGCCGAGATCACACCACTGCACTCTAGCCTGGCTGACAGAGCAAGACTGTCTTAAAAAAAATTAATTTGGGGAATAATGACATCTTTGTAATTTCAAGTTATTCCAACCAAGAGCTTGGACTATCTCTCCATTTACTCTTACCCTCTTCTATGTCTTTTATTAGCATTTTATAGTTTTCTACATGGAAGTCTTCTGTATTCTTCGTTTACTTAACACCTTGCTACTTTTATCATTTTTTATTGCTATTGTGAAGAATATCTTTTATTATTTTAAATAATATTTTTATAGTTTTTACTGTAGTAATGTTATTGATATTTGTAAGTCGTTCTGGTATTCAGAAACCTTGGTGAATTATTTTATTATGTCTGATGAAGAATGTCTGATTATCATTTCAACAGCTTTCATACTTACTGGTCTACTCAAATGATCTATTCCTTTTTGCCCAATTTTGGTATCATGTATTTTTTCTAGGAATTTAACTATTTTATCAGAGTTTTCACATTATTAAGTGTACTTATTCAAACTGTTTTCTTCTTCCTCCTCTCTCTCTCTCTTTTCTCTTTCTTTCTTTTATTCATTCATTCATTCTTTCTCTTTTTTCTGACAGCATCCTGCTGTGTCACTCAGGCTGGAGAGTGCAGTGGCAGGATCCCAGCTCACTGCACTCACTGCAGCCTTCACCTCCTGGGCTCAAGAGATCCTCCTACCTGAGCCACCCAAGTATCTGGGACCACAGGCATACACCATCACACCCGGCTAATTTTTTTTTTTTTTTTTTTTGAGACAGACTCTTGCTCTGTTGCCCAGGTTGGAGTGCAGTGAAATGATCTTGGCTCACTGCAACCTTCACCTCCCGGGTTCAAGTGATTTTCCTGCCTCAGCCTCCTGAGTAGTTGGGATTACAGGCATGCACCACCATGCATGGCTGATTTTTGTGTTTTTAGTAAAGATGGGGTTTTACCATGTTGGCCAGGCTGGTCTGGAACTCCCAACCCCAAGTGATCTGTCTGTCTCAGCTTCCCAAAGTGCTGGGATTACAGGTGTGAGCCACCGTGCCTGGCCACCCCGGCTAATTTTTTATAATTATTTTTTATTTTTTGTAGAAACAGGGTCTCACATGTTGCCCAGGCTGATCTCAAACTCCTGGGCACAAGGGTTCCTCCTGCCTCAGCCTCCCAAAATGCTGGATTATGGTCATCAGCCACTGCACCTGACCACTTCTACTTCTTTTTAATTTCCAAGGAGATTCACATTTACTTTCATCTTTTACCCTAAAGCATTACCAACCCAGGTTCACTCCACTTTTATTTTCAGTTCGAGAGTTCCTTGTTACACAGTGGGTTTAATTAGAATGCCGAGCCAGTTTGAGTATAGACTCATGGTTAAAATTCTCAGAGAAGGGTTTGTTTTTTTTTTTCCCCCACCTAGAGTACAGATTTTCTTGTGATGGGCAGATTTTTTCCTAGCCACCTTTCCACTAAACATGTGGCACTTTGAGAATTCTGACTTTTTCCCAGGGCCTCTATTTCAAATACACACTTCTCATGGGCCTTGTCTTTTGCTCCTACTTTGTTGTTAACCCAAATCCCTTCTGACTGACGCTACAAATGATGTAGGGCATTGAAATATCAGATGATTTTCCACTCACGTTTTTCACTTTTCTCCTTATTTTTGGCCTGTAACGATTTCCCTTACTCTTTTTTGAGAAGCTTAATTCGGTATTAAAAGGCTGCTGTGCTGGGAGTGGTGGCTCACGCCTGTAATCCCAGCTAGCACTTTGGGAGGCCGAGGCAGGCGGATCACCTGAGGTCAGGAGTTTGAGACCAGCCTGGCCAATGAGGCAAAACCCCGTTTCTACTAAAAATACAAAAATTAGCCAGGCATGGTGCCACATGCCTGTAATCCCAGCTACTCGGGAGGCTGCGGCAGGAGAATTGCTTGAACCCAGGAGGTGGAAGTTGCAGTGAGCCGAGATCACGCCACTGCACTCCAGCCTACGTGACAGAACAAGACTCTGTCTCAAAAAAAATTTATTTTACTTGAAATGGTAACAAATGTCATTACTGCCTTTAAAATGACCTGGAACATTTTGCAAAAACCCTGGGAGTTTTTGAACTATAGAATAAAATTAAAATTTTACCATTAGGCATAACCTGGCTTCCATCTACCTTGTCAGCCTAGCATCTCCCACTACTTAGCAAAAGTGCACCTGACCTTCATGACATGCTGAACTCAGGGAGGTTCCCACTTGCCTGAAATACTTTTTCTTCACCTGAAAGTCTTGTGCTGATTCTTTAAACTCCAGTACAAATGCAACTTCTTGAGTAATCCTTCCCTTCTGTCTTAGGAAGTTAATCACTATCCTCTATATTTCCTGACATTTATGTTTGTTACAGTATTTATATATGGTTATGGGTGCCAATTCTATCAATATCTGATACATGAGATGTATCAATATCTGATATCTAAAAGGTGAGATGTGCTATCAATAAAGTCTCTAACCTAGAACATAATCTGATTTTCTTTTTGTGCTTCTCTAGACTTCAAAGCACCATAGATGGAAAAAGATCCAGAAATTAACAGGTTAGAATGATTCTATTCTTTACTCTTCAGTTCCAGGTTAATGACAGACCAATTATGGGTCTGCCTTATGACTCTAGCCTTAAATAGCAGGTGGAGGGAGGTTGAAAAAGAGGATGTAGCTCCTGTCTGTCGGCCCCGGAGCACGAGTTGTGAAGGGATCCACTTGCGTGCGGAATCCCTCAGAACCATGGCGTCCCTTTCCCTTACACCTGTTAACATCTTCAAGGCAGGAGCTGATGAAGAGAGAGCAGAGACAGCTCGTCTGTCTTCTTTTATTGGTGCCATCGCCATTGGAGACTTGGTAAAGAGCACCTTGGGACCCAAAGGCATGGACAAAATTCTTCTAAGCAGTGGACGAGATGCCTCTCTTATGGTAACCAATGATGGTGCCGCTATTCTAAAAAACATTGGTGTTGACAATCCAGCAGCTAAAGTTTTAGCTGATATGTCAAGGGTTCAAGATGATGAAGTTGGTGACGGCACTACCTCTGTTACCGTTTTAGCAGCAGAATTATTAAGGGAAGCAGAATCTTTAATTGCAAAAAAGATTCATCCACAGACCATCATAGCGGGTTGGAGAGAAGCCACAAAGCCTGCAAGAGAGGCTCTGTTGAGTTCTGCAGTTGATCATGGTTCCGATGAAGTTAAATTCCGTCAAGATTTAATGAATATTGCGGGCACAACGTTATCCTCAAAACTTCTTACTCATCACAAAGACCACTTTACGAAATTAGCTGTAGAAGCGGTTCTCAGACTGAAAGGCTCTGGCAACCTGGAGGCAATTCATATTATCAAGAAGCTAGGAGGAAGTTTGGCAGATTCCTATTTAGATGAAGGCTTTCTGTTGGATAAGAAAATTGGAGTAAATCAACCAAAACGAATTGAAAATGCTAAAATTCTTATTGCAAATACTGGTATGGATACAGACAAAATAAAGATATTTGGTTCCCGGGTAAGAGTTGATTCTACAGCAAAGGTTGCAGAAATAGAACATGCAGAAAAGGAAAAAATGAAGGAGAAAGTTGAACGTATTCTTAAGCATGGAATAAATTGCTTCATTAACAGGCAGTTAATTTATAATTATCCTGAACAGCTCTTCGGTGCTGCTGGTGTCATGGCTATTGAGCATGCAGATTTTGCAGGTGTGGAATGCCTAGCTCTGGTCACATGTGGTGAAATTGCCTCTACCTTTGATCACCCAGAATTGGTAAAGCTTGGAAGTTGCAAACTTATTGAGGAAGTCATGATTGGAGAAGACAAACTCATTCACTTTTCTGGGGTTGCCCTTGGTGAGGCTTGTACTGTTGTTTTATGTGGTGCCACTCAACAAATTTTAGATGAAGCTGAAAGATCTTTGCATGACGCTCTTTGTGTTCTTGCACAAACTGTAAAGGACTCTAGAACAGTTTATGGAGGAGGCTGTTCGGAGATGTTGATGGCTCATGCTGTGACACAGCTTGCCAATAGAACACCAGGCAAAGAAGCTGTTGCAATGGAGTCTTATGCTAAAGCACTGAGAACGTTGCCAACCGTCATAGCTGACAACGCAGGCTATGACAGTGCAGACCTAGTGGCACAGCTCAGAGCTGCTCACAGTGAAGGCAATACCACTGCTGGACTGGATATGAGGGAAGGCACCATTGGAGATATGGCTCTCCTGGGTATAACAGAAAGTTTTCAAGTAAAGCGTCAAGTTCTTCTAAGTGCAGCTGAAGCAGCAGAGGTGATTCTGCGTGTGGACAACATCATCAAAGCGGCACCCAGGAAACGTGTCCCTGATCACCACCCTTGTTAAGCATTCCCATGTGCTGTTGATCACTGGACCAGTTTCTAGCAAAGTTGTGTTTGAAAGATAGCCTCTTAAAGAAGACAGTGCAATCTGTTTATCGGTGCCCATTATATCCTTAAATTTGGACATTTAGCTGACCTTCTCTTTTAACATGGGTCTAATTTATTTGCCACGTAATTTTCCATACAAATCACTTGATTTAAAAGTTCATTTCTCATACTGTGCATTAAAATAAAAATTTGAACAATTAAAAAAAAAAAGAAAAAGAGGATGTAAATGGAAGAAGTGTGCTTCTTCTAGCATCTCCATGTCTAAAGAGATGTATGTTAATCTGTCATAAGATTAGAAAAAAAAAAGAGCTGTATCTATACAGCTCCATGGTTCCTTTCCTCATGCTTCCTCTCCTCAGCTCCTTTTGTTCAAATCCCAAGGAATTGGGGAGGAAACTTGGTGAGATTATAAAATGGACAAAGGTTAACTACTAAGAGTTTGGTGAGGGAAGTTTCCCTGTCTTTTTTCCCCCACCATAGATACTGGATAGACTCCTTTGGAGGAAAAGATATGTATTGTGGCCTCTCTTTCCCCTACTCCCACTGCTTATTACTATGATTATTCCTATTCTTCCCAATGTATATAGCTTACATGTACTGTATGATGAAGGCAGCATGTATGATGGAAGCAGTGTAGCTTTTTGAAAAATGTTGAGATGGGTTAAGTCTGAGATCTACCACTAATTAGCTTCATGATCTTGGGCATAACTTCATCTTTATTTCCTTATTTGCAAAAAGAGGGGGTTGGATGAAATGATGTCAATAATCATGATGTTGATAGATTCTTCACCTCTTCTCCCAGATCCACAGTGGGAAGAAACCCTCAGGATGGCTTGCACGGAAGCTAACCTGACGTGGTGAGTAAAGCCTGTCTTCAGCCAATTCTACTGATAAACTCTGTGAAAGTTAGAAATAAAGTACCTGGTACCCTGTTTTACTTTCTTCACTATGATAGCTTTCTCTTTTCTAAGTTAAATCTCTTACTGTTTTCCTTACTGGTATTTTAATGAGACTTCAATTACATTGACATACAATGTTGCATCCAGTGTTTCAGAACTCCCTGGGGACTGGACCCAGGACTATATACTCTGGTCAATGGAGCGGAGTCTTCAACAGATCTTCCGACACCTGGAAAGCACAAGGTCAGGCATTGTAGTTTCTGGGTGAGGACTGAAGGTGGTAGAGGTTTTAAAAAGGAGGAAGGAAGGGGAGGAAGGAGGGAGGGACAGAGTTCATTTTGTCTGTGGAGGAAATTCAAAGTTCAAACTGGTCGAAGGGTCATTTCTGGGTGGAATGGGAACAGTTTCCTCCCTTTGTCCTGGTAGAGGAATTCTTTCTATAAGTAACTGATGTTGGGGAAAGAAACTTTTTTTTTTTTTCCCAATTCTCCTTCAGGCCAAAAATATTTTGCATTTGAAATGACCAATTTTTTCCTTTTCCTATTTCAATGCAAACTGAAACAATTTTCTTTATTTCTTAGATCAAGGCTTATGGAACAGGATTTGTCTGAACCACAGGATACAATTTCTTCCTCTACCTCCTCTGTTCTTGTGGCTCAGAAGACTGTTCTACGCTGTTGTGACTATAAGAAAGCAACACATTCTACTGACCACAGCATCTCCTTTAGATCACCATGCAGTAACTCCAGTCTGTGTCATCTTCCTGTCTTTTCTGAAGGAACAACTTGGGAATACCAGAGCCATAGTTTACCTATTTCCCACAAAAGGCAGTCATCTGTATTCAGGAACCAAGGCACAACCCTGTCTCCTTTTAAGCTATCAGAGCCCCAGAAATCAAAACTTTTTCAGAATTTGACAGATCTTTCACCCTTACAATCTCAGAGCTCTTTCATCAACTCTATTTCCGAACCTCTAAATATCTGCAAACAAAAAAGGAAAAAAAAAGAAGAGAGAAGGAGCAAGAGTCATTTGACATCAGATCATGAGCCAAATTCTGTTTCCAAGGAGAGACCACAACTTCCAAGGTGGGCTCCGTTCAAGCTCTCTCCTTCGGTCAGACGGGAGCTAGAAGGACATATGTCTGAGAAGGTTTTCGCTTTGCAGCAGCAAACAGTACCTTTACCTGTGAGGAAATCATGGGCAATGCTCAATTATTTAACTGAAGTACAAAGAGGAGTTGCTGAATCAAATAAACTCCAAACTCGGTTATCTATGCCCAATCATCAAAACACTGAGCAAAATATTAACAAAAATTCCCCAGACCTTCCATCATTTCCGCTTCTTGTGAATGCTGAAGTGGGATCTGGAACAAATAGCACAGAAACAAAACTTTCACAGTCACTTATCTCAGGCAAGCAGTTACAGCCTGGGGATGGCCCCCAAATCCTTGGATCCAAGCCTTTAGTTACATCAGCGGGCACTCTACCTCCAAGAAGCTTAGGAGTTAATGTAATTCAAGAGGAAACTGCTTTACTGAAGAAAGAGCCAAAACACATACTAGAGCTTAGTATAGAGAAGAGGGTCATAGGTTTTCCAGAAAAGAGGATACAGCAGCACAAGACACAAGTGACTAATGTGGATTTGACACCAAGTCTACCATATCAAGTCAAGGACAGCATAAAGGTAACTCCATTGGCATTACTTCGGGTCATGGATTCAATGGGGATGATCCCAGGATCACATTCAGAATCCGTGGGTTTGTTCCCACAGCTGCCAAGTCAAGTTGTGAAACCAATGGAAACTATGAAAACAATGAGTATAACCCCCAAACCACCAAATCAAGTCATTCAGTCGATGGAGGCAGCCCCAAGGCCAAAGCACCAAGTTGTGGAATCAGAGAGGATGGCCACAAGATTACTGAATCAAGTCACAGATAATAAGAAAGTAACTCCTATAGCACTGCTTCAAGTTATGGATTCTATGGGGATGATTAACAAGTCACATCCACATATAGAATCAGTGGGAATGACTCCAACACCACATCATCAAGCCATAGAGTCAGTGAAGATGAACACATTATTGAACTATCAAGTCACAAAACCAGAGGAGATGAATCTAAGGCCACAATGTGCAGTTATGGAAACTGTGGAAATGATGCCAGGGCCACAGCATAAAGTCATGGAATCAGTTGGCATGACCTCAGGATCACAAAGTCAAGTCATGGAACAAGGAAAGACTATTCCAGGGCCAATATGTCAAGACACAAAATCATCAGAAGTGATCTCGGCACCATTACATGAAGTCATGGATTATGTGAGAGTAACTCCAGTAGCACTATTACAAGCCATGGATTCCATGGGGATAGTTCCACCAGCACAGCCACATGTTACAGAATCTAGGGGTTTGACCCCAGGTTCACAGTTGCAAGGTAGAAGATCTGTTCATCTGGTCTTACCACCAGAGTTTCAAGATATAAACACTGTGGAGCTGACACTAAGACCACCAACGGAAGACACAAAATCTGTGGAGTTGGCCCCAAAGCCATGGTTACAAAATGTTAGATCTGAGAAGATAGCCCCAGTACTATTGTTTGAAGATGTGAAAACTCCCCAAATGGTAGAATGTAGGAGGCTAATTCCTGAGACACATGTGCAAGGTATGAAATATGGGGAATTGGCCCAAGGGACAGAACTTCAGGCAGTAAAAGCTGTAGAGATGAGCCCCAAACCAAATCACCAAGCCACAGAGCCTGAAAGATTGACCCCATGGCGTCAAGCCTCAGAATCTTTAGAGATGATCTCAGAGCCAGGTTATCAAGGAAAAGAAGCAAAGTTGACTTCTGACACTTGTCACCAAGTGGAAAAATCTATTGGGTTGACCCAACCATCTTTAGGAACTACCCCTGGGCCACTGAGCCAAACTTTAGAATCTGTGGAGATGAGCTCAGTGTCATTCCAAGACACTCTTAAGACAGTGGACCAACTTGGAAAAGCAATGAGGGAAACTGCATTATCACAACACACAACAAAAGAATCTCTGGATTTGATACCAGGGTCAGAGATACAAAGTGTGAAATCAGAGGTGTTGACCACAGAGCCACAGTCTCATGATATGAAGTTTGTTCATTGCAATCTAGGGCCATGTTCAGAAGTTACTGAGTTGTCAGAGACACCCTCCACGTCAGATTATAAAGACACAGAAACTGTGGGGTTGGCATTGTCTCAAGTTGGTAAGACCTGGGGGGTTATCCCAGTACCACTAGATTCAGTAACAGGAGTTTTGGAGTTGACTCTGGGGCCAGGCATGCAATATGAGAAATCAGAGCCACTACTGCAAAATTTGAAATCTGCGGAGTTAACCAGTGAGTCATCTCCATTAGTGATAGGATCTAAAAAGTTGATTACAGAACCAAAACCACATGTTATTGACCTGACCCCAGGGCCACAGGTCCAGGGAGGAAAGTCTATGCAGTTGGATCTAGAGTCACAGTTGCAAGGTGTGAAACATGTGAATTTAATCCAACAGTCAACTACAGGATTGGTAGCATCAGAGGAGATGATACCCGTGCTACTGCTACAAAGTATGCCATTGGAGGATTTGGCTAAGAGGGCAGAGGTCCAAGATGTAAACTCTGTGTATTTAAATCTAGGCCCATGTCAGCCAAGTGTCAAATCTTCTGGATTGACCCCAGGGCCACAGTTGCAAAGTGTCAGATTTTCAAAGGTATTTCCAGGGCCACTTCTTCAAGGAGAAAAACCTGTAGATTTAATCTCACGACCCCTACATTATGGTGTGAAATCTGATGAATTGACCTCAGATTCCCCAGTTCAGGACATCAGATCATCAGATTTTATCCCAGAGCTAAGACCTCAAAGTGTCAAATTTGTACAGTTGACTCCAGAACCACAACCTCAAGGTGTGAAATCTGTGGAACTAAACCCAGGACTAGGCTTGCAAGATGTCAGATTTTCTGATTTGATCCCAGGGTCAAAGCATCAAGGTTTCCAACATATGCAGCTGACACCAGGAGCTCAGCCTGAAGATATAAAGTCTCTAGGTTTTGTGCCGGAGTCATCTTTGCAGTTAAGCCAAGGGCCATATGTTGAAGACGTGAAATCTGTTCTGTCTACTGAAGGATCACAGTTTCACAGTATGAAATCTGTGAAATTGACCTTAGAACTACCATTTCAAAGTGTGAAATCTGAGGAAGTAAACTTAGGGCCTTGGCAGCAATATCTCAAATTTTCTGAATTGACTTCAAGGCCAAAGCTGCAAGGTATCAAATTTGGGGATCAAACTCCAGGATCAGTGTTTCATAGTGTGAATTCTGTAGAGGTGGTTCCAGAGTTAGGGCTGCAAGATTCCACATTAGCAACGATGTTTCAAGGAGCTCAAAGTATGAAACAGGAAGGGCTTAACCCAGAGCTGCAGCTACGAGATGTCAAAATTTTTGATTTAGTACCAGGAACTCAACCTCAGGGTGTGAAATCTTTAGAGTTAAACTCAGGGCCACAGCTACAATGTGTACAATTTTTAGAGTTGACCCCAGGGCCAAAGATACAAGGGATACCGCCTATGGCAATGGTTCCAGGGCCAGAGGGGCAAGGGGTTAAGCCTGAGTTGTTAGTACCAGAGCCACTGTTTCAAGATGTAAAATATGTAGTAGGCAATCAAGTGCCAAGCCTTGAAGTTGAAGCTTCCGGTAAATTAGTCTCAGAGCCACAAATGCCAGGTGCAGAATCCATGGAGTTGACTCTGGGGCCACAGTTGCCCAGTGTAAATCATTCTGAGTTAACTAGAAAACCGCAGTTACAAGATATGATATCTTCTGGATTGATAGAAGGACCACAGTTCCAAGATGTAAATCCTGTGGAGGAGAGTCCAGTCTTAAAACTTCAAGGTTTCAGATCTGAAAAGCTAACCCCAAAACCACAGCTAGAAGGTGTGAAATCTGTGGAATTAATCCCAGGGCTACATTTGGGAGATG